TCGTCAAAATTCCTTACTGTATATCTATCAACTCCGCGTTGGGGACACTTCGATTTATCAAACAAATGTTGCCCCCACACGAGATGGGTTTCCCACTGATGATGACGTCAGACGAGTGTTTAAGTGTGGGAACAGTCAGTAAAAAGAATTTCAGATCGGAAGTTCATCGGTCCGATGTATAAATAAATACTCAGTGACTGATGGGAGTGTGGTCAAATGTATAACGCCACCAGGCCTTGTTAAATACATTTATATTCAGATTTGAGGCAGAGAGAAGACCATTCACATTAGACATCTTTTAATACCAAATTCACATTTTGTTTTTCTTATTTTTATAACGAATGAACCTAAATCTTTTAGAATTAGACACTTTAGTAGTAGGTAGACAGTAGTAGATTTAACATTAATGACATAATAAAGCTTATAGTCCACCAGATGTCACTTATTTTCTGACGAACATTGATATACAAGGTTTTGTATGTCGATGCTGACGAACCAAATGTGTAAGATTAAGTAGTGTTAATATGTACTATGATCGCATGCCTACCTGATAGCTTGACCAGTGGACCATTTTCCAGGTATCAGGTAATCAAGGTAGGTACGTGAAAATATTGCTCATCTCACGTTAATTCTCCCAGCTGATTTTTACATATATGTTAGATAACATCGTTAAAAATCAGTCATCAATACTCCCAGACACTTTCCGTCGGCAGTGTCGCTTTGGAGACGCTTTAAAACTCTCAAAAAAAAAATACTCAATTTGACTTACACTCTGAAGCTCCTTTTTTATATATGTTAGCCAGTCAACTATTTTAAAACGTTTTAAAAGAAGGCAGACCGATCCAAGGGGTCAAACATCCCATAGACCCACAGTGTGACTCACGCTCATGCGTGCGGACAATACCCAGGTGTTCAAACCCACAGAGGCATTGAAATTGGGTACTGGTAACTGGAATAATGCCCAAATCCTGGAAGCTGCCCAATGTGCAGCCCGTGTCTATAAAAGCTAGCCGTACCAAACCTACCAAGTACCGGCCAATTTCAATTACCTCTATACTCAACAAGATTATGGAGCGTATATTAAACGCCCACCTCATGGCATACCTAGAGCGGAATGATCTCCTCAGTGACCACTAGCACGGGTTTCGCCGAAATCTATCAACTGGGGACTTTCTAGCGTATGCCACTCATATATGGCTCGAAGCTCTCGAGGATAGTGGTGAAGCACTTGCTGTTTCCTTCGGATGTTTCGAAGGGTCTTCTCTACCATCATCATACGTCACAGAGGAGCATTAACCTGCAATTTGAATAAAAATGCTAAGTAAAAATACAGAAGGCACTATACTATTTCATATAACGTTCTTAAGTATCTCTAGAAATGTGTTATTAATCAAAATAATTCAGGCTATACTCACACGCCTCTGAATGTCATTAACCCTTTGATTATATATATTGCAAAAAACACTCCCATTTGATGAGCGGTATAAAATGAAGCACATGTGTCTAAAGTTGCTCACTACATGTGTTATTATGAAATTCCCGAAATAGACTCAACGGCTTCCGTACAATAATTGTTTACTAACACTTATGGGAAAGACTACTCACACCACCTCTCACATCGTATGGTAATACTTAAAAGTTAATTTCCAATTCTTACGCAGCAATACTACTCGTAATTTATAGCAAGGGAGCCGGTAGCAGAAATGTTTAAAATATTTCATCGGCAGATGGTGATACAATTTCTGTTTAATAAATATTTTAATATGTTTTTAGTTATATCACGTTAATTACGAAAATTATATAAATAATGTACTCCAGACCGAATTTCGGTCACAGCGGCCAGCCTCAGCAGAGACTAGCCATCTGCGCAGAACAGGATTATGGTGCACAAGTGTTTGCGCAAGCACAGGTGCACCGTATTTCCTCACTCTCATAAGTTCATTGGGACAACCCGGCACAACAGGAGAGAGATCAGGCGCAAGACCAACGCCTTTACGTGCTTACCGAGGCACGGTAGTAAACAGCGCAGCTTCCTGACTCCGGGCTGGTACTGAGAATTTCTAGATACGACGCGACCTCGGGACCTTATGTTCAACAATCAGGCTTACTGCCGGTAAACCAACGAGGCTATTAAAAATATTGTACATTTAAATCTAAAAAAACCAGACCAGCCAAACTTAAGTAATATGTATGAAATTAATTAATTGGGATATCTAATATATAAAAATTTATATTTGTTTGTTCGTATTTTATGTGCTGCTATACCGTTCATCAGATTGCGGTAAAACTTTGTCAACATATTGCTTGCACTTCCGCGAAGGTTATAGCCATAGTTGAAACCGGTAGGTGGCGCTGTCGTAGAATCCAGAAATCACCCGTGCGAAGCCGGGGCGGATCGCTAGTTATTAATTAAAAAAAACCGTTGAATATTATGAGTAGCGTCCACACTAAAATAATAATTTGATAATGTGTATATTTCATTCACCCTCGTTACTATGGTTAAACACTTTAAGCTTACTTTTCCTATTCATATTAACGATAACCATGTTCCGTAATATTATGCACGACTATTTAATAAATCTACGGAATCCATTACTACCGTATTAAAAAGATATTACTAGCTCTTTACCTATTAAGCGCATAGATATACAATCTAATATTCATAAGCCGTCTTTCCGTTTATACTCGATAATTTTTTATATTCTTATTAAAATACCTTGTTTATTAATTTGTGTGCAATTGTGACAAGTAGAAAGTATAAAAAGTTTAAAAAGTATATTGGATAATGGAAATGTCTCAGGCCTTAAGGTCAATGTAATTTAGTGTTGTCATAGCGCGCTAGTGGCCGGGTGGAAGGTTAAAATTGCTCCGAATTGAACCTATTAAATAAATTATACATTTAACTCAAGTTAAGTGGTATTTAATTAGTAAAATACCGATATACGTAAATTAAAGCTCTTTTGGACTTCATCACTGATTTTATACCGACGTCAAAAAGAAGACGGTACTCAATTCGACTGTATGTTTTTTTATGTGTGTTACCTCATAACTTTTTACTGGGTGAACCGATTTCGATGATTCTTTTTTAATTTAAAAGCTGGTGCTTCACGTGTTGTACCATATAAATTAGTAAATATATAATATAATAATAATAATAAAATATTGATCAAGGTCTGATCAATATTTTTTGAGTTATTCTTAATAATTTATATTGAAGTCGGTTGTACAAAATTGTTATATTTAAATTATATTTGAATATTATACTGATTGATCCGCGCGGCTATTTCCAGTTTAATTAAAAGTAAAAGTAAAAGCAGTTATATAATTTTTTCCTAAAATATTACGAAAAGAAAATTAACAACACAAAAATACTCCCTTTAATTTTTTTTAAAACGTGACCTCCACACTAGGATTTTCTCCTATATCGCGGGGGCAATTTACATACATAGATTTCATTCTCTACGCACTCTAGTAACGCCATTAACACAGAAATTACGAGAAAGGCAATAGTTTAATAAAACACACGGAAAAGAAAAGAATCTTGGCCTTGTATCGTATACCATGTGTCAATAACTGGACACTTTGAGTCAGCTATCGTTACGCTTAATATGTATTTATAGTCCAAAACTAAACCCAACATACCAGAACAATGCACATACCAGGACGTGACACTAATGCAATAAGCTTGATCTCTTTCATAAAAAAATGGCTTTGCTTGGATTCGAATAGAACACCGTTTCAGTAAACAGGCACTATGATGACTAAGCCACACGGTTGACTTATAAACACGCAGAAACAAAAAAGGGCGTAGATGGATTTAAAGCCAGGCGCCCGTTAATTTTTTTTCACATCTCATAAACAGTGCACATGTGGCGCGCGTGGGAACGGGCCGGGGCTAATGAAGGTAATGAGATTGCGGAGTTGCTAAACGACGGCTGGTTGTATGGGCCGCTGTATGAGCCCACCGATGGGTGAGGGCTTACATCAAGCAATTAGAGCCTTTTGGATTGTATTAAGTGCCCTTCTAGTATCGTTGTAAGGCCCTTTGATTGCTCCATGAACCGAAATATTTAAACAAATATATAACTTTTTCTAAGCCTTATCTAGGTTACTGCCAGCATCTGTTTTCCTACTCACACGTCCCATTTTGCCCGGTTACAGACCGGCGTCTTCCCCAGTGAAAACAATTTTTTTTTTTTACAGAATAAGGGTGACAAGCGAGCACACAGTCCACCTGATGGTAAGCGGTTGCTGTGACCCATAGACATCTACATCTATCTTCGTTTGCGACTTAAAATGCAGATGCGTTGTCAGCCGTGAGGACCAAGATGGATTGCCTCATTTCCAGTAAAAAGGGTCTCCGGTTCTCTACACTCACCATACGAAACACAGCAGCATTAAGCTGCTATTTTACGCTGCATTTATATTAGTAGTATAGTTGTAGCACGAATGTGTCGACTCGGAGAAGGATCACGCACTCACAGAATACCAGCGTAAAATAGCAGCTTAACACTGCTGTGTTACGTATGGTGAGTTTAGAGAACCGGAGACACTTTTTACTAGAAAAGATGCATTCCATCTTAGTCCTCACGGGTGACAACGCATCTGCATTTTGATTCGCAAACGAGGATAAATGTAGATGTATATGAGCCACAGCAACCACTTACCATCAGGTGGACTGTGTGCTCGTTTGTCACCCTATCCTATATAAAAACAGACTTGGCTCGGAGTTTTATGGTATTATTTTAAAACTACACAATGTAACTGAAACAACCAACTAAAAAGAATTTGCAAGCTAAAGTATACACAGCACATTAAACAATTGGCATTTGTAGTTCGTCCTGGCCAATTTTTAGTAGTAGATGATCGGCAGTTGACTGCAACCTGCACTAGTCTGTAAAAATATCTATTAAATATCTATTAAGGTTTGGAACGAGTCTCCTTACTGTTCTCTGATTGTAAAGTTTCAGCTGACACATGTCTTCTTACTATTTGTCCAGGGTACCGCGGCCAGAACTGCGAGATAGACATCGACGACTGCCCGGGCAACCTCTGTCAGAACGGGGCGACGTGCGTGGACGGACTCAACTCCTACACCTGCGAATGTCCGCCTACGTTCACTGGGTCACTCTGCGAGACCGACGTCGACGAATGCGCACTCAGGTGAGTTACAGAAAGTTAGTTCATAAATAACATAACATAAACACTCACGCCTGCCACCCAGAAGGGTAAGCAGAGGCTACCGACATCCGTTTGGTATAATGCTGACAGACCTCCTACGCCTCCTTTACAACCATATACATCTAGGCCATCCCTTACTGGCTCTGCCGTTGACTTCTGCAACATAAATTTGCTTTGATACTCTTTCCTCGTTCATTGTTTCTACCTGATCAAACCACCGTTAGTCTATTTTTTAAGACTTAAGCTACTTTCATTCTTTACTTATGTATTAAGGTATAACACAATGCTTACAATATCGGTAATTATGACAGGTAAAAAACGGACAGTACCTACAAACTCATGTGGTATAAAGAGATATTACCCGCCTAATTATGTAACAAACGAGGTAATGATACTTACATCTGAATTTGATAGCATTTTTAACATTATGTTCACGCCGTCGCTGGTATATTGAGTGCTAATTACATAATAACTCGACGAGAAGTCATCGATCTTTTGATTTTTAAATAATGTGCGCTGAGCGATTTGGTATGTTTTCCATTTAATTTCTACCAAGTTGGAAAAAATCTGTTGAAATTTTACTGTTATGTTATGATAGGATATTTATATTCACATCTCATTCATTATGTTCTGTGTCTGTATGCAAAGTGATTTTTTTTATTTCTTCAGTACTCGTTCTAAAGGCATAGACAATTTTTACATCAACAACTTCAACGTGATCTGAAATTCTACACATAGTAGTCACACATGCCGAAAGAAGCGAATGTTTGGCAATTCTTTGGCAATTTTTTAACATCGTAGAGCCACGTTTTATGGCTGATATATGAATGGGTAGGCTCGACCGGGGACGACCATTTACAGTATCATCTACAAAAACCATACAACAAATTGTAGCATAATGGTACAAAATAAAGAGATAATACTTTGTTACTGTGTTACGTATGGTGAGAGTAGAAAAAATGAGAACCGGCACGTCCAACGTATCTGCATTTGTTATTTATCTAAGATAAATGTAGATGTCTATGAACCACAGTATCCTCTTACCATCAAGTTGACCATGTTCTCGTTTGTCACCCTCACTTCTTTAAAATAATAACAAAGGTGCAAGTACGGGAGATTCCAAAAAGATTTGATACCATCTGGCAGATGTCAATATAAAACTATCTCTAATTTGGCCGGATGTAAATTGTCAACACCAGTGACGACGGGAAGCAACGTCAGTCCGCGTCGTGTAGTACTTCGATCGTCAATACGCCTGCCAAGCATGGTAAAATTTACGGTCAATATTATCTGCATCAAGAAAGACCTAGTATCCCGCAGTGTACTGTTCCTGGCCGATAAAGAACACATTATACATAGTGATTAAGGGTTATAGATATTAAATGAAACTTATTTTTGCGGATTTTTTCGCGTTTAATTTAACTTTTTAATTCCCGACGTTTCGCTATACCCTTTCCTAGAAATAGGTCTGTTTATTCTCATTCTTATTACGTTGGGCGTAGGTTAGGGAGTTCGAAGCTTATATCTTAATAGCTACTGATATTTTCGCTATAACCAGGCCGTTTTTATTAGAATTTCGGTTCGGCATTTTTTTTTCATGTTATTTCCTCAATCTGACGGTCACCTGATGCTCGCCTGTCAGCCAGTTTGATTACATGTAAGGTAGCATTTGAAGAATATTCGCATATTCAACCTTACACCCCAAATAAATACATGCAGAGCTCTATAAAATTAAAAAGTGCATGCCTATAAAATTAACATACATAGGTGGTTAACGTAACATACGAAAGCAAAACGCAAATGTGATTTATCATGGTTAACTTTCAAAGTTAGACATAAATTGAAAACTGCGCAGAAAGTGATTTATAATTCCAAATAGAGATTTGTCTGTTTTTTTTTTCTCAACTCGTTGTCTAAAAGGGAAGCCATGCCGTAGACAAAATAAATATATAACCCGTTTCGTGTAAATTTCGAAAGGTTTCGTACTTCCCGGAGATCGTTTTTTGGGTAGATCCTAAATTATTAATTAATAACTTCTTATAACAGCTTTAATAAAAACTCACCACACTTTTTAATTGTTTTTACGCTTGTGTAATATTTATAGTGGTTAAGCATTAAAAACTATGTTATCGATAGCCTATTATGTGCAGTCTCGAATTGAGAGGTTTTACCATAATATTCACGCTGACAGATTTTACATTACTAGCATTAAAATAATAGACCCATAGATACCACGGCAGTCGCCTTCCAATAATATTCTTAATTATTCGCTAATTTTTCAGTCGTAGAATTAACTATGGGACGCAGGATAAGGGGTTCTTTGTGGTCATCACAATTTTTATATTTTTTCACTTCATACGTTACATCCTATAAAAGGTCTACTGCTGAAAATAGGCCTCCTTCATGTTCTGCCTTAGTTGCTTATTTTGCCATAGTTTCTACGCTCTTCAGGCGGTGTAGCAACCGCAGGTCTTTTATTATTCTGAGGTGTTATCAGAAATATGCTGCTGCCTATCTTCTGTTTCACTTTCCCTTTGTCGCTTCTTATAACACCGCACGAATTGGGAAACTGAATATTCTTACACCGCCACTACACATTAAAGCTATTTGATATTTATGTTTGGTAAAAAAAGATATTTCAACGAGTCCATAAAAAATCGAAAGGTTTTTTTTATAGAATGGCGTGACAAACGAGCACACAGTCCACCTGATTGTAAGTGGTTGCTGTGACCCATAGACATCTACATTTATCCTCAATAAAGAATCAAAATGCAGATGCGTCGTCACCCGTGAGGACCAAGATGGACTGCCTCTTTTCCAGTAAAAAGGGTCTCCGGTTCTCTACACTCACCATACGGGACACAACAGTGTCAAACCGCCATTCCACGCTGGTATTCTGTGAGAGCGTGGTCCCTCCCCGGTCGAGCCGACCCATTCGTGCTACAACTATACCACTTATACAGCTGCAGCATGGCTCTACCACGTATAAAAAAGGTTAAACGATTTTACAAAAAGATGTCATGAAATATTATAATTTTTGATAAATAAATAAATAAACATAGGTTTGAACACTACACAGGAGGAATGTTCAATAAAGAACGCTTTACAAGAGACACTACCAAAGGTTTTCCATTCGCTTGTTTTGGGCTTTTATATGAAGCTCTTTTATGTCTTATTAATATTTCGGTCTGTTGGACTCAACTCAGCCGCAGGCGCTTTTCAAAACGCAATGTAATCACAAAACTGTATCTGGCAGTGGGTTCACCAATTATAAACTCTATTTATTGGTAATAAAGCAAAATATCCTGTGAACCGGCTATCATTAAACGCACACATTTCGTTCCGTACACGCTTAAACGCTCCGCGTCGTTGTTGTTCAGCTTATTTTACATGTAATTCCTTCAACATAAACCAGATCCTTTGATCCAATCTAAACTGTATACTAACGAATTAGAGTTGTAGATCGAACGGTGCATTCTGTCATGGGATAGCGTCATACTATCCGAGCCGTCGGTTCGTAAAACGCAACAGATAATGCGTGCTCGATATCGAGTTACGTCTTAACATGGCGTTTTGTTTTTATTTTGTGCATTACTCCAGCCTCCATTGAGACGTACGTAAGTGGTAAGAAGGAGGAATCATTACTTTTTGTCTGGACTGAATAGGGCATAATTTAGTAAGTGGAAGGTACTTTCGATCCATCTAGTGAAAAAACGATAATTGAAAAAAGTCTCGAGTCTCTAAGTTTTTTCAAGAGAGATCTCATAGAATTATAATGCATACGAGATATCAAACTGATGGCAAAAAAAAAATTATAAAAATTTATATTTTGACTTCGGTCCGATCCGGTTACTTTAGACGAGATCAATAATCATAGAAAATCCTTAATTTATTACGTCAGGTAGACTTAAAATTGAAAATTTGTTTAAACTGCACAAATAATAGGTTTAACGTGAGATTTTCTTCTTTATGGTTATCATCTTGTAACGACAACCGCTTAAAAGTTTTCCCCACCAAAAAAAAAAAACGGGACGTCAAAAGATTGCTTCACAGCGTTAGAAATTGTTTCGGCGAAGATATGCGCACTATATTAATTGCATCTAATTGTGAAAACATTTGGGCCAATTACCAGTGAGATTTATAACGTGCTGGCATTGCGGCTTTTTATATTGAACGTCCCTAAACGACTTCGTTGTTTTTGAGGTCGTTAGTGTATACCTACGTTCACACTGCATTGTGTGTAGTAGCAATTGAGCCAGCATTCCATTTCTGTAAGGTTTTGTTTAAAAACTCGTTATGGCGTGTAAAAGTCGTATGAATTCTCGTATCTTTGATTAAAATATGCATCGATAAAATCTGCACGTTTCGCTGGAATTTTTTTTTTTTCGTTTTCGTCGACGAATTAAAAGTTCGTGTTCCTTATTTAAAAAAAAATATTGTAATGATACGAGGTTTAATGTCTTTTTGAAGAAAATAAGTATATAATTGCCAACCCCACTTAAGATCTAGTCGATCTAGTAACATCATACGATCTAGCAACATAAGGTCCAGCTAAGCGTATTTTATTATATTCATGTTAAAATTAAAATCATTACAATATCTTTCGACACATTTAAATAACAGCCTTACTAAGAGCTTCTCATACTAATCTATAAAATAACTTACTGTAAAAGTAATCCGCCATTAATCAGCGATCAGAAACATGCTGCTCCCTCGGATACGCGGGAAAGTTTACGATACGAAACCTCAATTCGAACTTCAACTACACAACCTGCGGCCGCGAAACGAAACCATCGGTTATCGATATCGACTCTTTGATTAATGTTTATTCGATAATCGCCAAATTGAATATATACTTTGCTGCGTTGTCAGTTACCTACTCATTTGTACGAGTTGCCGCCATCTTGTTGTAATAATGTTGCCTGAATTTAAAAGCAAATTAATTTTACTTAGTTTTTATGTAAATTGTAGAGTGCAGGTGT